CAGGACCTGGTCCAGGCAACAGAGGGATGCTGTCAGGGGTATGCAGAGGCCATTACTGACGGATCCCTTCTAAAGACCTCACTTAAAATTAGGGCCCCATTGTATCAGCCACTACAAGCATACAGAGTTATGTCATTGCTCTCAGGGCACATAAATCTAAACGATGAGAAGAAAAAGGGTGAGAATGGAAACACCCAAATAAACTTGCCCAAACTGATTCAGAAAAAACAGCAACAGAATAGAACCTGTCTTGCAACTCCCAGTTAAATGCCTTCATCCCCCAGCCTTCTTATTAACTGCATTATTATATGCCATCTGCTACAGATGTACTTACAAAACTGTTTAGAATACAATTTCATATTTCTGTTATGTATGTGAAGAACTTTTCAACTTGCTTCATTTTAATTCATTTTACAGTTTTAATAAATTTCCTAATTATTCTATTTTAAACGTTAGAGCATTTTATACTTAAAGCTAATATCTATGTACTTGGCTCCTTAGGGGCTACCTTACTTTTTCTGGCTTCTTAAATTGTCTTGGGTTTGCTCAAACTAATTGAAAAATTGGTTGGAGTGGTGTACTCATGCACTAGGTGGGGATGGCAACTCAGGTCACTTAATATTTCTGCATCAGTTTTTCTATCTGTAAACAGGGATTACAATTTGACACCATTTTTATCTTTCCAAAGTTTCTGAAATTATTATGATTCAGCATTAGTATTAACACATTATCGGTCTGAATATAGCATGATACAAAACAGCTACTTTAATGCATTATTTTTTCACAGTGTAAGCATAGGCCAAAAGCCTGTACCCTCTGTATTATGAATATTTGTCTATGAATACTGAGTGCTTGTCCAGCTGAAACAGCCTGATGTTCTGAGACCCATCTTAACTTTTAATTCTGGGTTTTCAATTGTTTCTTCTTCTCTGAGGTTTGTTGTTCTTTCGCACAAGCACAGGCACAGGCACATGTACACACTTGCCGTGGTAATGTACTCTGAAGATCTGTGTCAGCACAAGAATATACAGAAGTTACATTACTAGATATAATGCTAAATGAGAAACTAGCTATGCTGCTCGAAATATTTGTTATAAAAGAAAATGACAGATGACAACACTTACAAACACATTTTTTTGTGATAAGTGCCAATCTTTTTTTTTACAAACTCGAATCAGTTTATCTTTTTGCCCATAATGAGAGACTGAGGGTGCTTGTACACGACGGGGGCTTAGTTCAGTTTTGTTCTCCTTAAATTGAAACAGTGGGTTATTAAAAACCCAGTTTCCGTTTCAATTTAGGGAGAACTAAACCGAACTAAACCTCCGTCACGTGTACGCAAGGGTTAAGGGGCCCAATCCTTAGAGCCTGCCTGCTTCTCCCATGGGGCAGGGGGCAAGCTGCCAGTGGGCCAAGCGGTCCCTGAGCTGGGTTGGGGGGAAGTGGCGAGGAGTCTTTCTTTTTTCCCCCCTGCCCCTGGGAGCCTATCTGCCTGCCTGAGCTGCACAGGCCCCGTGCTTTGCCCCATGGTGGCGACATCCACAGGGAAGCTCCCGGATGGGCTGCCAGCAGGAGGGAGCTGCCTGGGGGCACTGCAGCTGCAGAGGGAGGCACCAGGCAACCCACAGCTCAGGCAGGCTCCAGGAAGGTAGGGGAGAGAGGTCAGGCTCCTCGCCTTTTTTTTTTTTCTTCAGTTGAGCCTGCCTTCACAGGCTGCCACTGGGTTGCACAGCCCCTGAGCTATGGGGGACTCCAGTGCAGGTAAGCTCCAGCACCCCCTGCACCATCCCCACCACCTTCCTGTCGCCTGGGACTGCCCAGGAACAGCTGGCTTGCCCCCTGGGGCAGTGCACAAGGCAGCGGGCAGCTGGGTGTGCTGACAGTGGGAAAAGGTGGCAGGGATGTTGCCGGGGGTGCTGGAAGCCTGCCAAGCCTGAGCTTCCCTGAGCACATCCCAGCACTGTTAGATGGGCTTTACCTTGCTATGTAACAGTCTCATTTAAAGTGGAATATGTCGCCAAGCGTATAAATAGCAGCACCGTTAAGGCAGTGCAGAAGAGCAATTAAGCTGCTTTAAAGGCCAGTTTTGTTGTGTGTACACAGGCCCCAAGAAATTTTGGGCTCTTTTTCATCTCAGTGTTTCTATTCTCTGGTCCTTCCCTTTGGGAGGTTAAGATTGACTTACTTTTTTCGTATTATCCAGGTGAATTTTGTATGAATAAGTTTAGATATCTAACTTGCGTGTGGTGGTGGTGGGGGGATATCAAATCAGAGAAAGCATCCTGTTTTACTGTCAAAATGTTTAAATCAAAGTATTTTTTGTATTTCCATTTGTTACAGGCATGTTTTTTGTTTGTTTGTTTGTTTAACTTTTGGAAAGCTCTCATGTTCAGTGCGTCTCAGTAAATTTAAATGTAGATTATTTACAGTCTTGTCACTTCACTTGAAACCCATGGCCTAGGTACAAACTTTGACCACTTACAGATTCCTTTTCAAAGGAAAGCTTAGTTGCTTACTCCCTGAGTTTGAAATTAGCTTAATTTTCATAAGGCAGAGATTAAAAAAGAAAAGAATAAAAAAAGAAAACCTATGTTGTGCCTCAAAAAAAAAAGACCAAAGATCTCTGCTAAGAACTAGCTGAGACAAAATGAGAAACAGAAAAGAAAAGAAACAAAGACAAATCACATGTTGGCAAAAAAGATCTGAATCTGGAACCAGCATTGTTTAAATTACAAACAATAGCAGTACAGTACAATTGTTTCAGGGGTGTACCAATAGCAGGACTCTTCTCCATTCTCTTGATGGATTACAATCCTTCATTCTTCAAAAGCAGTTTCCAATACTCAGGTGTTGAAACAGGACATTTGTCTAGAGTCAATAAATACTGAATGAGGGGTAGGATTATTTGTGTTCATGATAAATTATCATAAGTAGAAATGTGAACATTTATGAACATGTCACTATGGACATGTCAATAAAGTAAGTACAATTTCTGAAGGAATAGACAAACCCATTGAATTTGCAATTCAGCAGTAATCTTCTTACTGATGTCTTTATATAGAGATCAAAAATCTTTCCAAGCTTGTGTAAAGCAGCAAACTGCAGCAACTAAGTGACCTCCTCATTATCAGTAATACACTTACACATGTATGGTTTAGAGGTCACAGACATATGAGAGGTGGCTTTCAACACCAGGATCTGCTGCTTTTTCTCACAGCAGGCTCCATATCTGCATAAGTAATTGATACCTCTGCATCCCAACTCCATACTTCCTACTATTATGATTAAACTCCCACTTACAGCTGTTTAGGAATTTTCCAAAATATCTTTTTTTCTCTAGAAAAATGTCTCTCAATTGAAACAATGCAAAAACAGATTTCAACAGAGGCTTCTTGGGTCCAGGCAGGAACCTCTAGTCACAAAAAAAAGAGAAATAACCATGGCTAGAACATCCAGTGTCCCAGTGATGACGACAAGGGCAGGATGTGGGAGACCTGGGGTTGAATCCCTGGCTCTGGTGTACCCTAACAACAATTCGACGAGGTCGAATGGTCACAAACTACTTCAAGATCGTTTCAGGCTGGACATAAGGAAGAACTTCTTTACTGTCCGAGCCCCCAAGGTCTGGAACAGCCTGCCAACGGAGGTGGTTCAAGCGCCTTCATTGAACACCTTCAAGATGAAACTGGATGCTTATCTTGCTGGGATCCTATGACCCCAGCTGACTTCCTGCCCTTTGGGCAGGGGGCTGGACTCGATGATCTTCCGAGGTCCCTTCCAGCCCTGATGTCTATGAAATCTATGAAAGCTACAGGCTTTTCCAGGGTGGGTGCCCTTCAGCTGCTCCTATTAGATCTGTTCAATTTTAGGGCCCCAGATTCTGCAGCAGGACACTCTTCCGTGGACACACCTCCCAAATTCCTGTGGCCTGCCAGTAGCCAGGTAGATAGAGCAGCTCTGTGGGCCAGATCCAGCCTGCAGGCCATGTTTGGTGTAGCATCCCCCAAATTAATCAGTGCAGATAGATGTAACCTGTGACAAGCCTTTGCTATCACAGTTTAGGGATCCTTCTGTTCATCTATTTTGCTTGAGAATAGATTGATGGTTACAATAGTTCATCTCATAGTAATCAATCAATGAAATCTCATCAACGGAGAAAGCATGCTGTGTTACAAGACAAATTTGGCAAACATATCAAATCAAGATGCTTTTTCTAGGTGCCAGAACACCAAATAAAAATAGCTGACTATATCTAGATTGGTATTCCCACATTCCCTGCTAAACTAAGCATATAACTAAAAAGTACCATAGGTCACAGCTAAAAAGACCGTACAAGTCTATGAACCAGACCAGTCTACTTGGAAATACTCTTAACTCAAACAAAGCCAAAAGAGATTTTAATACAATTTGGATCCATCCATATCAGCCAGCTAAGCCGTTTCAAAGCCCTCTTAAACTACATGCCATAATACCAGGAATCTGAGAAATATCTATATAACATACATAGATGCACATAAATAGATGATATATCAAAAACCTGAGAGCAATCTTACTATGCATTTACCATACTGGAGTAATCTTCAGCCTTAGGACATAATTTTTCCTTTGCAGTAAGTTCACCCTTGTTAATTCAGTTAACCCAGGCTTGCAAAATTGTCATGATCATTTCCCAGCTAAGGCACAATATCTAGCTTTTGAAAATAAAGTAATGAGAATGAGAAGCATTTTACTTCCCCCCCAAAATGATACAATCATTAGGCAAGCAGAATTTAAATTATTAAGAGACTGAATTAACTATTTATTTTATGCTTTCTTAAATGCAATATAAATTACCAAAAAATAGCTACACATTCTTTGGATTGGGAAGTTTGCAAAATATTTCCTTCATCCCCCCCCCCCGCCATGAGTAGTTTGCAATTTCTCTTTAAATCTAATTTTCATGGCTTCTTATCTGGGCCTTTCTATACTGTATCAGTTTATAAAATGGTTGATTTCATCAGCACTTTAAAAAGGTGTTTTTAATTGTCAAGGCTTTCTTAAGTAGTTCATACTTCCAACACCATAACACCTTTCTGAAGTGCTATAAACATTCTTATAGTGAAGAAAAATACCTCTCTTTGAGCTATATGCCCCCATAAAAAAAAAACTACTGAGGAAAACCACATGGAAGCAATGTTACTGATTCTGGTTCCTCATCAAACCTTGGAGTTGCTCCTACCATGCCCTACTCAGCACAGGAGCACTGTTCTTAGAAGGGGCTTGGTGTCTCAAGAGGTATTCCTTGATCTACCTGGAGTTTCATGGCCCTCCCACAGATCTCCTGTTCTTGACAATGAACAAGACACACATGGAGACGCTGCATATATGCAGCTGCAAACAGGCAACACGATACATAAATATTAGTACATATTTTAAAAAGTCACAACACACTTCAGAATCCCCATACCTCTAAACACCATGAAGCAGGGAACAAGTGACAATGCTTTAATAAACAGAATGAGATGCTCAAGTATTTGATCTGAAAGACATTTATTGCATCTGAAAACAGCTCCTGATGATTCCTGAAAGAGCAGGTTATCATGTTAGTGCACAAAATCTAATGGATAAAACATCTGTATCACCGATTAATAGTTTTTGTAACAAGTTTAATATAAGCTGTACTCTGCATCATATCAACATATTTTTACACATTTATATAATCCCAGTCCCGCATATAACATATATACACTATTCTTTTGATAAGCTGTGCTGAGAATTTGCTTTACTACTATATTACTACTATGCAGGATGCTGATGTACAGTGAGTGAAATTCACCCCTGGGCAGAAGGCCAGCACAAGGCATAAGCACAATTTAGCTCCTTAGTCTTGTCCTCACTGACTGACTAGAAGTTAATCTCATCCAACCAGAATTTGGCAGCCATTAGGAGGACCCGGGCAACTATAGGCCAGTCAGTCTCACCTCCATCCTTGGCAAAGTCTTTGAAAAAATTATCAAGGCTCACATTTGTGAGAGCCCGGCAGGACAAATTATGCTGAAGGGAAACCAGCATGGGTTTGTAGCAGGCAGATCATGCCTGACTAATCTAGTCTCTTTTTATAACCAGGTTACGAAACGCCTGGACACGGGAGTAGGGGTGGATGTCGTATACTTAGACTTCAGGAAGGCCTTCGATACGGTATCCCACCCCATACTGGTGAACAAGTTAAGAGGCTGTGACTTGGATGACTACGCAGTCCGGTGGGTGGCGAATTGGCTGGAGGGTCGCACCCAGAGAGTTGTAGTGGATGGGTCGGTATCGACCTGGAAGGGTGTGGGCAGTGGGGTCCCGCAGGGCTCGGTCCTTGGACCGATACTCTTCAATGTCTTCATCAGCGACTTGGACGAGGGAGTGAAGTGTACTCTGTCCAAGTTTGCAGATGACACAAAACTGTGGGGAGAAGTGGACACGCCGGAGGGCAGGGAACAGCTGCAAGCAGACCTGGATAGGTTGGACAAGTGGGCAGAAAACAACAGAATGCAATTCAACAAGGAGAAATGCAAAGTGCTGCACCTAGGGAGGAAAAATGTCCAGCATACCTACGGCCCAGGAAATGACCTGCTGGGTGGAATGGAAGTGGAAAGGGATCTTGGAGTCCTAGCGGACTCCAAGATGAA